TCTGTTGGGTGTTGTTGCCCATATCACTATTAAAGAAGATAATTCTCACTGAATTTGAGAATAAGAATGAAAATTAAGATTTGAATGTAAAAATCAGCATGCATTTGGTATATTGACAAAGACCTTCTAATATGGAGCTATTGTTTCTGAGCACCAGAAGGACTCTTCCAAAAATGTAAACAGATGTGTTTTTAGGGTTAACTAATCATACTATTATGTAGGGGGTTTGTTGTAAACTCACAAGTATCTTTTTTTTTGATATTTCATATAAGTAAATACTACCGTTTAAATCACATATATCTTAATCTAAAATTGCATTTTTAGATTTTTCAACCTGCGGACATTTATATTGCATCTACAAATCAAATCACATAAAATGCTGATTACATGTTACTGCATATGCAACTAAAAAAAGCTTTTTTTTTTTTTTTAATAGGGTATTTATGTCCTTCAGGACAATAAATTTCGTCTCTTGACACAAATGTCTGCAGGAAAGCAGTATTTAGAACATGCACCAAAGGTACCCTTCAGTTTTATCTTTGAGATCTACCAGTTTGAATTACCTTGATTTATTAGTGATAACTTTATGTAACTGGATCGATGCAAACTCTTCAAAAGGGCAGCCAAAGTTCAGTCTCCAAAACCTGAGCTTTTAGAAATGCACCTCGTTTTGGAACACTGGATTTGATTTATGGCTCAAGAAATAGTCATAGTTGCTGTAAAACTTGCTGTTATCATGTTTGAGTTACTTGATGGTAGGAGTTGGTCTGCCACCACCACACAAATTCTTTCTCTTTGGAAAACATATGCCTTCTGAAGCTTTTTTTTTTTTTTTTAAATTTCCAAAACATAATTGGAAGATGCTATTTGTTACCTAGAACAAGCTTCTGAGATTATATGAACATGTGGAAAGATCTTCCACCAATTAAAAATGGTTTTGAGTGTAGATGCTGAGTAATAGTTTAGGTCAGTAAAATCAATGCTTCTGCAGAAACTCTTATACAGCACTTTGGTGCAGGCAGATGTAAGAAATGGGGCATTCAGTTCCATTTTATGGCCTCTTAATCTTCATAGTCATCGCAGTTGCAGGCTACTGTCCTTGGGTTTATTTTTCTTGGTGTTTGGCAAGATGTTTCTTCTGGTTTGCAGCATATATTCTAGATACCTGTAGGCCTTTGTATTCTAAGACATGGCCTGTGCAAGAATGCTGTCTTGGACTGTTTCTCCTTCATTGACTTTAATACCAGTTGCTAATTTAGCCACGTCTTGGGAATAATAATTTTAAGTATATGAAGTTCCGACAGGTATAGTGGAAACAGAAACAAGCTACTCAAGATAGTGTCTCTAACAAGACAATTCTGTATTGTGAGCTCTGCTGCACCATGTGTCAGAGCTTTCATCTGCTGGAGATGAGGAAGTCTCTTGAGCACAGTAACAGAATCTCCATAGTTTTATGTTGTCCAAGTGCTATGTCTTGTTCTTGAGTACTTAGTTTCATCTTTAGGAACAAGCTTCAACCTTCACATTTATTAAAAATGCAACTTTATGTTTAGTATTTAGCATTTACCTGTGGACTAATCAGAGGAGGCCTATCAAATTTGGGAATAAAGAGTATTGTAACAGCTGAAGTTTCATCAATGCCTGCATGTAAGTAGTTTTTGGAGTATTCAATTATTAGCTTACTTGGTAACTTTTCTTATTGACTTCATCACTGTATAAGCATTTTTCAAGGTGGGATTAGTTTGAAGCTGCTGGGCCATAGGAGTCATTATGAACTTCTGGGTACAGCTTGTCACTAAATGCTTTAGTATTTAGAAATTACTGACAGGAGGTGAACCTCCATGATACTGAGTGGAAAGCAAAACTAGAAAAGTTGCATTTATATTTAAGCATCAGATGAATAAGGATGGATGTCCAGAAGGCCATTTGAACAAGTGAAGATAAAAACAACCAGAACAGCTTTCTCTACAGAAGTCATTAAGAAAGAATGAGAACGCTATTGTAACTACCCAAGCTGCTTAAGGTGGATTAAAAACTTTCCACAGTCTTTGCATGAATTCTAAATTTAGCTGACAAAACTGTTGTGATGTGAGAAATGGATCAACTTAAAAAAAAAAAATAAATAAAAAAGCAGTTCAGATGGAGTTTAATGCTAAATTGCTTTAAAAAAAACCAATGTTGATACTTTGATCTGACTCTTTTTCTTTGCAGGTAAATTTCAGGTGATGATACAGAAGATGTAGAGCACATTCAAATCTGGGTGTCAACCTTAAAAATCCTTTGTGTGTGGATTCTGTATCTTGGTTCAGCCTTGTATGTAGCTTGTAAATTATAGCAGTGTGCAGCACAATTTCAAAATATATAATAAATATTCAACAAATTAACAACACTATCCTTGCATCTTGGTATGAAATTATTCTATACCAAAGTATTCATGTCCACATGGTAAAAAACATCTAATCAAAAGTTTTCATCAAAACATTTCAGTTACCAAAGCAGCACACATGGAAGACAGGAGGCATGTCAGGAGAACAGAATAAAAGCCTAAACTGCATTAAAGAACTAATGTTTTGTGTCGCCTCACATGAATGCCCAACTGCTGCCTTCCTCTGTTCACTCTGAACCATGAGGCAGCAATTGCTTTTGTATTATTCTGAGGAAGCCATTAGCAAGTAAACCGAACCCCTTCATTAGTGGTGTTCACTGGAGGCTTACTTCCTCTGTAGAAATGATATGGGGCAGGAGAGAACTTACTTCTACACAGTTAAACAGTTCCTCCTACCTAATTAACAACCATTTTTAGTGTCAGAAAATTTTATGGCTAAGGTCATCTATAGTGGCTTGTGCATAAACTCAGTATTAATGTAGTTGTTTTTAATTGCTAGCTACCTACAACTTACTTCAGTCAGGAGCATGTGCAGGAAGATGATTAGGCCTGCAAGAACATATAAAGACATCACCAAGACTCTTGAGGTCATAGGGGTTTGCTAGATACTACTTGTTAGAAGATCTGCATAACAGTGTATGTCTTGCTGTAGGTAAGCATGAAAAGATCTTGTTAAAACTTTTAATGAATTCTGCTGTGAGACTTTCCTGTTGGCAGGTTCAGGCTTTATACATTCAAATGAATCACAGCAGAAACTTAACCATGTTCATTCAGAAGTGTGAGACTGCCTTGTGATAGTGAAGCAGTTTCTACTTTGTATAGACTAGCATACAACAGGCTAACTAGGAAAGCTAATGTATTAACATAGCACCTTTGATTGTTGTAACTACATTCTGTGGTGGAAGAAGTGTATGTTGTCCAGTTTCATGGTAGGCAAGACCCTCTGTAATCTCTAGGGAAGGTCTGAAGTTTGTAATAGACCAAGCCTTTTCTAGGGAGCTGCTAAAAGCTAGCAAACTATGGATTATAAATGCAATAACCAGGCAGCTGTTATACTTGAGCTTAAGATGCATGAAATTCAGATCTTTCTAGGTACCGCAAATGCTAGTTCAGATCAGTTGTAGCTGAATAAATAGACAGTTCTAGGAAGCATCTAGAGCAGAACTCAAACTAAAAAAGTGCTGTCCCACTGTTTATAGAGGAAAGTAATTAAAGTGGTATGGTACTCAATGGGGATCAGCTGTTTGAAAATTCTGGGTTCTTATACTAGTGGCTTATAGGAAGGCTGTGGTGGTTGTTTACCTTCATTCCTCACACTTGTTTGTAACTATAGGGGTAGAGAATCAGCTAACTAGTGTTCTTGCATTTCATGGGTTCTTCAGTTGCCAGCTGCTACTTTCAACCTGCTGAAAATGTCACTAAAAAGACTAGAAATAATTTGCACTATATCATAGATGGACATCTCAATGCCATTACTTCAGGCATCTGCAGTGGTAGACATTCAGTATCACAGACCATATAGAATCATTTCTACTTATGTCTCCAGAATTAAAAGTCTAGTAGTTACTGTAAGTCAGTTTGATTTTTCACTTGGCATCTAAGACTACTATTCCAGATGCAAAAGCACCAATCATTCAAAGACATACTAAAGGTTTATTGGTAACTGGTTGTCATTAATGATTAATAATAGCAATGGGAGGGACTTAAATTCTACAATAAACCAAAAGCAGGTTATCAGTTAACACTGTTTATCAATTTGCTGCTGTCAACAGAATTCATAGTTCTTTTAATATGAAGTTTTAATTACTGAAGATAATTAGAACCCGAGGGAGTCATATATGTACCAAGCAGATGCTGATACTCCTAATGAAACACTCCATGTTAAATATATAAATAGGCAAGCTCATGTATTTGTCAAGATACCATACAGAAAATAAATTTGTTCATTGTTTAATAAATGCTGCTATTAAAAGCACTGAATACAGCTGTGTAAATTTCACTGGTTTCTGCAACTGTTTACTTAAAAAGAGCATTATTACCCTGTCCTGGGTTCAGCAGTAGCAGTCATTTTTCTCTTTGGTAGCTGGTGCAGTGCTGTGTTTTGACTTTTGGCTTGGGAACAGAGCTGGTAACAATGATGTTTTGGTTTGGCCAAGGACTTTGTGAGCCTCATGCTCTGCCAGGGAGGAGGGGAAGCCAGGAGGAAGCAGAGACAGGACACCTGACCCAAACTAGCCACAGCATGTCATTCCCAGGTAACTGAGAGTTACCCGGGAAGAGCTAGGACTGCAGGGTTGGAGGAGGTATCAGTGGGTGCTTGGGCTGGTGGGGTGGGCGAGTTATCGGTCAGCTGGTGGTGAGATGGTGTGTTCTTTTCCCTTGTTATTTCCTTTATCATTATTATTATTATTGGTGGTAGCAGTAGTGATTTGTGCTATACCTCAGTTACTAAACTGTTCCTATCTCAACCCATGGGAGTTGCATTCTTTTTGATTCTCCTCTCTATCCCTCCGGGAGTAGGCAGAGGGCAAGAAGGGAGGGTGGGGGGGTGAGTGAATGAGCCCTCTGCCTGGTTTTAAACCACGACATACCCCAAAAGTAGTAGCATTCATGTTTTATTAAGTTAAGGAAGTTAGTGGCTATAGCTGAACTGCTTAGCCATGTTGAAGCTCAGGAACCAAAGCTTGAAAAAAACAAACACATTCAGCCCTAGCTGTGTAGATTTCTATGGTAAGGCTGCTGTTGAATATCAGGAAGAATGAGAAAAGCCACAGTATTTATGAAAGCTCTTCAAAATGCTTAAGTTTTTTAAAAGAAAGACTTTAGTGGGTGTGTGTTAGATAAAGAACAACCCATTTGTAATGTAACTTCAGATTTCACTTAATAGCAGTGTCCACAGGATTACACATATGGTAGAAATTTCTAACTAAGAATGTAGTTTACAGAGACAGTACCTTGAGAGATGATGTCAGACACTTCATTGACCATTTTGTGATGATGATACCAAGGACACTGACAATTTGTGCTACAGCTCAGCTGAAGTTATTCACAGCGGTCCCAAGTGCATTATCGTAAGGGTGCTCTGAAGGGCTTGTATCGTACTTCAGGTCTGAACAGTGCAGAGTCTTGCTGTTAACTCGGACAATGCTGTTTGTACTATGACAACACAAAATACTTGATATTCTCAAAACAGTCTAGGAAGGCTCATCAGCCAAGTCACGCTGATCAAAGTACCTAGTGGTGAGAAGCAGAATATGGTAAGGAACCTCTAATGCAACATTACTATGCTTCGAGTTGTTAGATCCCTTGCTTTCTAGCACTTCTTTCAGTGTTTTTACTGTAATTATAGCTTTGCAGTTCAGGGGGCTTGTCTCAGGATACCAATATGCTTTCTTCACTCTTAGGTTTATCTCAAGTCCTTTTACCCAAGTGTATTTGCTACATAGGCCCCAGGGTACTTAATTTTCACTTTCAAAGAATCTAGGTTAGGACAAGTAATACATTTGGACATCCTTTACTGTTTTAGTTAAGTAAGTCACATTACCTGCTAACTAAGCAGATTATCAAGTTCAGAGCTGATATTTGTTCTTCATTCTTGTTCTCCTGAAAGGGAATAAATATTATAACAGGTCATTTGTTACCTGTGTCAAACAGAAAAGCTGTTACATGATATACTGTGTGCTTGTAATCTTCCCTTCATCCTCAAAGCAAACTCGGGACATGAAAAATTACTTACCAAGAATTGAAAAATGATTCATCTTATAACTTGCTAAGTCCAGCAAGTCCTTTGTGCAATATAGCATTAAATCTTACCCCTAGTACTCTGACTTCTGAGCATCGTCTTGCCAGCTGTCGAATAAGGGAGTGAGCTTCAGGTAGCAGAGGTTTTTCAAGGCATGCCAACAGTGCATAAAGCCATCTACCCTGTGTAGATTCAAATAACAAAGTTTTTAATTATGAGCATTTCACTGAAGTTTCATGCAGTTCTTGTTATATACAGCAGAACTGGAGCATAGTTCTCAAAACAAAATTGCATTTAAGCGTTACTGTGAGAACTGAAAATTTTGAAAGCCCAATGAGACACTACACTAATCAAAGTTTTGACAGCAACTGAAATGAAAATGATACATACTCTTCAGAACCTAAAACATTTTCATACAGAATTATGAACAATATATCCCTTCTTTAATGTGTTCATGTGCAAGTAATTAGAATAAATTAAAAATTACCAGTTCTGGAGTAAAATTTTTCTCCCCAAACCAGCTGACCAGGTATTCCAAGACAGTGGTTACTGTTGCCTTTAACAGGGGGACAGAAAGAGACAAAAAAATACCTGAAATGTTTTGTTCTGCTGTCCTTCTACCCAAAGGATTATATTATATAAAAAGCAATATGATTTTAAAGAATTATGCATGTTATGTATTTCTACTCTGTGATGCTATATGGTATTTATTCCAGGTTGAAGTTACATATAAAGTTAAAGCAGGTGTTAAAGAACCAGTTCCTGGAATTAATTAATTTTCTGTGTCAACAAAGAGTTATGGGTAAGTAGCTACAGATAAGGAAAGAGGCAGCTGACTGGCTGTTTTCTATAAAGGTGGAAACATAATAGGAAGGTTAAGTGCGATAATTACAGCCTTGCTGTAGGAGTTGTAGCCTCCTTGTAGGAGTTCACAATTGAGTGTCAGGACTGCACTTAAAACACTGAGAAATCTTAAAACACTGTTAAGCACCTAATGGGCCCTTCAGCAAAAAAAAAAAAAAACAAAACAACAAAAAACAAAAAACCAAACAGGAAGTGTTCTTGAGAAATTACAAGGACAAAACACTTTTAAAACTAGACACAATGAATGTTCACTAGTAAAGCTGTTTGTAGCTGAAGGTCAGATAGTGATTACTTGTTTTTCTTGCAAGTGTACAATGAATAGCAATTGCAATAAACAGTTGCCTACTCTAGCACACAAAAATAGGTAATACCTGCAACAGACAGAATATGAGAAATAATCGTTTATGCAATGTCACTATGCAATTCTAAGAGGTAGGCTTACCTGATTCATTCTGCTTACAATACTTAGCAGAGGGGGAAAGCCAACCTGAAAAAAAAAAATCAAGTTGGAAAATGCAGACATTATCATAGACATTTTTGTTCTAGTTTAGAACATTGTTGTGGTTTAAACCCAGTCAGGTAACATTTTAATGTAGTGCTCAGACATTTGCAGTGAATCGAAAGTCTTTCTAAGCTTTGAAATCCATTTTTAAGAAGCCTTCAAGCAAATTCAGGATAAGGTCCAGTCAAATTTGGTATCGAAGAACCTTGCTTTCCCTGGTATTTGTTAGTTTTGTTTTCTCAAAATACGACAGTGAAGGACACATTTGTAGGATAGCATATATAAGGAGAGCAGGCACGTATCACCATTTAACAAAACACTAAAGCACATTATGCAGAAAGCTTCCCCTTTAGTTCAGTGAGCAACTAAGTAGCATGCTTTAGGGGTAACAAAAACTTTTTGACTAAAGGGATAGACTTGTTCTCTGCTTCACTTGGTTTCCACTTAAAGGGGAAGAAAAAGGGGAATTTCTGGGCTCACAAGAGTCTTTCTGTGTAGCACAAAGTGGTAATAAACAATAGAGTTGTTTCTGGCAGTTATTCTTGAAAATAGCATCTGAAAATTAGATGAAAGTTCTATACTCACCTTTATGTAATTGATTCCTAGACTTTCATCATCAGATTGTGTATCTATTTCCGAGTATATTCTTTCACCTAGGCAGAACTTCTTCCAGCCTTCTTCATCCTCTGGCTTTGGCTAAAAAGAAATGAAAACTGTGAAATACCGCTATATTGAAGACACCAAAGAGAAGACTTGATAATATGATCAAGACATTGCATTAGACTGTAAAGCAAGATTAACCACCGGTTTAATGACCTGAAGCACCCCCTCCAGCACTGCTATGAATTCTACTCACCATAGTAACATTGCTGTCCAAATGTTGTGACTGCCAGTGATTTCGGTGCTTGTTCAGGCTCTGAGTAATTAAAACGAAACCACAGTTCAACTTTGCAGTTATTTTAATCCTAGCCATAGCTACTCTTCATTGTCCTTAAAATGCATTAGAAGTCTATTTTATGATGTTCTGTAAACCAGTAGAGGCATAACTGGCCAAAGAGTTGCCATGCCTCTTAGTATAAATGAAACTAAGCTGCTCATGCTGGGTTTTTGGAAGTAATATTAAAGCTGAAGAAATTTTAAAGTCTTTAAAGCTTATGAAAAAAGCTGATTTAGTCCAAAACCACACATAAAGCCAATATCCTGTTTCCAGCAGTGGTCTGTACCTCTATCAGGTATCTACAGAACTGTTAGGAGAAAAGCGTGCTTTCCTAGGGTATTCCTTCTACCTGATAGGGATGCCATATAATAAAAACTGTCCTGCTGGACAGTTTCCTGTACAGAGTGTAAACTTCTTGTAACAGAAGAAATTTTCCCCCTAACTCAGTTGTTATTGTAGCAGTAAAAGTGACCACTAAAAATGCTGTAACAGCAGCTGATGCATAGTGTTTGAACAAGTAACTTCTGATTCTCTTTTCATTCTTAGATATTTTTTATAATACTTTAATACTTCAAAGTGTTAATTCTGGCACAGATGAGAGGACAATTCATTTGGGTATAAAAGGAGTATCTATACAATGAATATACCTTTAGATGTAAGTTTGCTTGTTCTACTAAAACCTCAGATTATACACAATACCTATTATGCAATGTGACACCTTGTAGAAATAAGGGCTAGCTCAGTTAATGTTTACATTGTAGATGCAGCAGTACAGACTCCCACCTTCACCAATTTATTTCCCTGACAAAACAGGGTAAATGAGCTCATGCAAAATTCAGTGCTACAGCAGCTTCAGTGCAGTTGGTTATTTAAGAGCAGGGTGCAGTATGGAAAAGTTTGTGCTAACACAACCTTGCAAATACATTTTACCAAGTCAGTATCTCTCCTTGTAATGGGTGCCACCACTGTCAATATTCTAAATGGACACTGTGTTGTATATACATGAATCTCCTCATGGGTTAGAATCCAGTTTTTTTTTTCAGTTGATGTTGAGTTCTGTAGACCATTCCTGCTGGCACTAGGTTTTAATATAACCAGGTAACACAGGGGCTTATGTCCTCCCTCAGCTATACCACATCATTTAATCTAAACACCAACAGATATTTTGCTGAAGTTGAAGCAGATTTTTTTTCTTTAAACATGACTCAAGAGTTTTACCAGCAGTTCAAAAGCCACATAGCATATAACGGATTTCTTTCCCCCCCCCAAGAGCTTAAAACATTTGCGTACAGATATCTGTCCTACCGTAAAGTCATAACACTTCTATACTAGATGCGAGATTGTCCCCCATAAACAAAGGGGTGTTCTATCCACAGTCCCCTCACCTCACCTCCCCCTCCCCCCCCCCATTTTGTACCTGACGAACAGCTGAGAAATTGGCCACTTGCTGCTGCTGCCACTTGAGTGTTGGGGAGTATCCTTCAGGAGCAGGCTGACATCCGGAAATCTAAGAAAACACTGGCAATAATTATAATGCAAATAAAGCTTTGTAAGAAGAATCCTTAAGAGCAAGAGAGTCAGTAAACATTTACTATCAGGTAGACAATACTCTTTAAACCTTCATTTAAGAAAGGTAATTCCATGACCACATCCAAGACTGACTTACCAATTGGTTTAGAAAAAATTTCTTCTGACTCTTCTTGTATGCAAATACGAAGAAAACTTAAGTATTCAAAATACACTGGCAACTACTTAAGGTCTTCTTTCTAGCAATGCTCTGCCTTAAATTTCCCTGTTTATAAAAAGCAGGGTGCCATCTTGGACAGTTGCTATGAATCTGAAGCATTCTACTTGCCACGATAGTAAGTCAAGGAAGAAAGAAGACCACAAAAATACGTTTTAGAATTAACTGACAGTTAAGTAGATACAACCTCTTTAAAGATAAAGATGAAAGAGTTATTAAAAAAAAGCAAACAACTTTCTACAAATGTTTAAGAACATCACTACAAAGACAAATGAACAGAATGGTCACAGAAGTTACACGGTTGTATGTCAGTACTAAAAACTCTTCTTGAGCAATGGAGTAGTTAAATTTCAGATTACAGAGTTTTCACTTGAGAAAGACAATCTTGGTCTCTCAAACAATTTGAAAATAGATTGAAAACCAAGCTGGCAAGGGCAACGAGACAACAGAAAAATCTACTTGGGCAGTCAGGAAATAGTGCAATAAAATATTACACCAAAAAGGAAAGAAGCAGTGCTAAAATTTCGTCTAACTTTGGTAAAGTATAGCAGTATGTACTGCCCTTACCCTAGATACATATTTAAACCCAAATATAAATATGGAGATAGCTTTCTAAAGTTTATGCAGGTTTTATGATAAAATATTTGCGAAATTTAATTCAGTATTAGATTACCTGAGACAAACAGAACAGCTTGCTGCGTATCAAGTAGCATAGACATTATCAGTTTAGAGCAATTATAAAGCCTGCTGTTACCCAGCAGCGGAACAGGTGTTTCTTCAAACCCTGACATTTGAACTAATCCTGTAGATGCTTTTAAAATCCAGCATGCTATTTAGTTATGCCAAATATTCCCCAAAGTAGTAAAACCATTATATTAACATCTTTCCCATTTTTTTTTTTCTCTCAAAAAAACCAAACCAAACCCCAAAACAACGTGTGAAAGTTTTCAGACTTACTGAAACATTCACTGTCTGCTTCTTCCTCAGTTTTCTGGGGTCTATTTGCGCCACAACCACATCTGGACATCGAGCTGCTTCAATCCTACAAAATAAAATCCAGTTTTTCCTGTTCGTAACAGGTGGTCATATGCAGCACACCTCTGAAAGACTGCACCTGCACAAACCTTCAGGTATGTAAAACACTGGACACAGTGGGAATTCTTACGGAAAGTTTGACTTGAGACTGATAGGTCAAGTACTCTCAGCTTCTACACAGCTGCTCCCGCCACTTCGGAGCTTGCTTATATTCTAACGCCCCTATAAACTGCGCACCGCTTCCCGCAGCGAGGCCTCGCACAGCGGCTGGCACGGAGAGCCGGGCGCCAGGGCTCTCTCCTCCAGGGGAAAACCAAGCAGCGCCGGTCCCGGAGCTGCGAGTAGCGCTGTAGGCACCGACCCGCCGAGAGACATGCCGCGTACGCGACACAGCCCCGGCGAAGCAGCAGCAGCCTCGCAGGAAGCGTGTAAGTTTAGCCGCGATGCCGGACGGGATCCCGCTGCGCCGGGAGCACCAGCGAAACGGCTCTTCTGGCTGCGGCTGAGGGAGCTAGCGGCAGCACAGCAACGCGAAACTCAACCCGGGCTGCGCCGCTCACAGGCGGGTGACGCCAGCCCACCCGCCACTCACTGGACGCGCTTCAGATACTCCTGGGGTGTCCTGGGAGGCACCGTGGGGTCGAAGTCCTCAGCCAAATCACAGTCTTCCACAGGCAGCAGTCGCGGCATCAGCTCCTCCATACCCGACTCCATGACTTAACGGCCACCGCTACGAACACCCCGCCTCACCGGGTGCCGCTGGGAGGCAGTGCGAGTATTTCTCGCGAGAACTGCGGGACCGAGCCGGGTCCTCCCCTGTACCCCGTGGCGGCTGCCTGTGCGGTAGGGGCGGGTGCCTCTTGAGGCAGTGTGGGAGGTGGTCCTGCTCACGTGCTGCCCGTCAAAACAGAGCGAGATATCTTTAGAGTCCCTTCCAACTCAAACCATTCTGTGATTCTGCAGTTCCTTGAAATGCTTTAGGATTTATGACTGAAATCAGTTGCATGAAAGTTGACTGCTGTAAATTTAAACAGATATCTCAATCTGTAAGGGTTAATGCCTGAGTTTTTATTTTGTTGCTGTATAGTGGGAGTATCTACATGCCAAATCAAAAATGAGGTAGCACTGGCACAAAGGGAGATTGTGTGGAAAGATAATGCTGTAATAATTTACATTGTGTATTATGAAATCCCTGTTACACAACATATCAATCTGTGTATTATTTTGCCCATTGGTTCTGCTGATCAGAGTTGCTTTGTCACGTCTGATACCAGTTCGAAAAGAGCAATGCTTTTTCTTCCACAAGGCTGTGTTTTAGCAGTTCTGAACAAACACCTACCTTAACTCCTCCTCTCCACTGGCTTTTGTTTGTTTTAAGGTGTTTCCAGAACCACCTACGTGTAACAAAGAGTTTTAATTCTGAAACCCGATCTTATGTTCTAGTTAAGGACCATGCAGCTGCTGCAGTCACCACAGGATATAATACCTGTTTAGCTAAAACTACTGTGATACTTCTGGAAAGGCTGACCAATGGGCAAGACAAAAACTTTGGTGAGTCCACCTGTAAAAAGTTTTCTTCCTTTACTTCAGTAATATTCAGAACTTTTTTTTTCTGTTTGTCATGAAGAACTGTGAACAGAAAAAGAATCCACAGATATAAACACAGGTTAAATAACTTTCTATCCTTACATTTCTTTTTCCGGAACTTTCCATTTATACATTTAAAATGAAGTAATGTATTCTTAATTGTTACAGGGAGTCTTCTTCCATGCATAATAAAATTGTTTCTAGCAAGTTTTACCAACAATGTTGATGAAGTGACTAGCAAATATGGCTCAGTGTAAGAAGAGGAAGAAACTAGGAATGAATATTCCTTCTCCTCAACTGCCTAGGCCTTATGGAAGAGTACTTTTCCAAAGAAAGGGTGAGTTGTCATCAGTGGACCTGCACTGCTGAGGGAAAAACCAAAACAATTAACACATGAACTGAAAATTCTGCATAAAAAAAAAATTAAATGCTTTAACTCTACCCTCTAAGATAATATCTTCCTATAATGAGTATACACCGTGTTAGGATCCTATTTTCTATTCTATTGTTTTGCTTCTCCTTGCTTTTCTCTGTGGTTTGCACCATCCTAACAGCTGCAAGACATAAGTTTAGAGCACTGGCTTGAGTCATGATGAAATTTAATTGTGCTAATGACTGATTAAGAATGTTTATACCTTTCGTTTGTAGTGAACTTTCATAATAGTATACTTTCCTGTTCTTTCTTCTCCCCTTTTAAGTGTCAGTTGCCCCTTTTTCTCTCACAGGTTACAGATTTCATCCTGCAGTTCTGACTTCGGGATTTGCCTCTTTTCAGTGTAACTTTCTGAGAATGTTTCACATAGTGTTTGAGTACTTCTAAAATTACAACACTGAACTGCTTTCTGTGCATCTGTCTGAAGTTATTTTGCCATGCCGCGTATTTTGGTGGGGGTGGGTGCTTTTTATAAACTGAAGAGGTTGCATGCCCTTGGCAAGCTCCTGCTTTAATACTCCCACACCTGGCAGTGGTACTTGTGGATGTGAAAATTTAACATCCCTCCCTTTAAGTTCTTCTGTTGTTTACCTAGGCATGTTTTAGGACTGAAGAGGACTGGCAAACGTTACTGGAGATAGTAGTGGGATAGAAATTCTATCATGATTACATCTGATGTATTAGGAAAGAGAATAAGTATGTTTTAGTTGGTGGTCATGGCATGTTTTCAGTCACAGTGAAGGAGGACATGGTAGCCCATAGAATTTTCTCAGGCCTCTTCCACGTCCGTGTTTGTCGCACTGAGGTATCTCTGGAAAGACAGAAGACACTGCTCTAGCCTTTTGTGGCAGGCTTGTTTAAAACGATTCTGAAGTGCTCGGTGTCACCCTTGCTTGGGTTGGGGGGGGGGGGGGGGGATAACCACACTGCCAAACTGGGCAAAACTGTATGGTTACATTTATGTGAAAGTTATTGTGCGGATAGTAAAAGCACTCTATCAGGCTAAACCCAGCAGGAATATCATTCCAGTATCTTTTTTTCCCAGGCAGTCCGAAGAGCGAGACTGGAAGAAACGATCTTTAGAGACATCTGGAAGTCGAGCGGGGAATTAAAAACACAAGCACACAAACGGGCAGGAGCCGCGGGGACGGTGAAGGTCAGCGTTGCGGGATGCCTGACGCCTGCCCCGCTCCTCTCTCCGGGGTACAGGTCAGGAGCGGGTGGCAGCCAGGCACTGCGCTTGGCCGGGGGGAACCGTGGCGCTCAGCCCGCCTCCCGCTCTCTGCCCCTTGACGTGGCGCGGCCTCTCCTATCGGCCATGTTGGCTGCGTCGGCAGCGCCGGGGCGGGTGCGTGCGTGGAGTGCGAGAGAGGTGGCGGCGGCCCGTGCGCGGTGAGTGGGCAGGGCAGGGGCTGAGGAGGCAGCGGAGGGTGTGGGGAGCTGGAAGAAGGCCACGGGTGAAGAGTTCTTCGCCGGCGACGTGGCGCTGCGCGGGTATGGGGGGCACTCCGGGCAGTGGGGCCGCCGCCCGGCTGCTACCCCAGGAGGGAGCGTGGTGGGGAGCTCCCCGCCTCCCCTTACGGGGCTTCGGGCGCTTACACCGCTCTCCGTGGCGGCGGGGGGGGGGTGTCCCCTTGCGGCTGGAAGCTGCTCTCGGGGTCCTTGAGGGGCCGGGGATACCGCCGGTCAGCGCTGCCCGCCGTCTCCGTGGCGGTGAAGCCCGGCTGGGGTCGTGGGAGCAGGCGCTGAGAGCCCCGTTCTCTGCAGGGCTGCCGGTACCCGGGTAGGGCCGGCGGGGCACGGCTTCGGCGTGGCCTCCCGTCCGCCGGGTATAAAGTGCGGCTCAGTTCTGCTGCGGCTGCCCTGTCCTGGAGCTCCTTCTTGGAGCTGACGGCGGTGTCTTGAGGTATCAGTAAGGCTACATAGAAATCGTGTGTAGGCCCTGCTGCCTTTGCATAGGTTTTTTTTTAATTTAGGTGGGGTGTTACATACAGTGGTTGTTTAAAAAACAAAAAAGTCCTCGGTTAACATACCTGGGCAAGCAGGTTTGGATGGTGGCTGTGTTTGAGTAGCCAAAATGAAATTCTCGTGGTTGTCACTTTGACAAGTTGTGGTTGCTTTACAAAACTACTAAGTTATTCTCCTTGTATATTGATGAATTCCTTCGTGGAACTGAAATAGATTTGTGTCTGAAATGCTGATTTTGGCATGAAAAATTAATTGAAGGGTTATTATTAATCTCATTTTGCCGGATTATGAGTAAGAACAGGTTTGTTTTAAGAAAAGTGCACAGTGAACTGTACTGATTTAGTGGCATTTAAATATATGGTGAAGTACTTCGATCCATCAGTGCTGGAACCTTTAAAATGCTGTAGCGAGAAATGTTTTAATTTTGTTTGTATGTGTTTGCAAGGACCAGTTGATATTATTTTGGTGATCTTCTGTGCTGGGACACATTTACAGGTAATGTTTAATGGTGCTGAAATGAAGGAGGGGCTTCAGATTATGAGCTGTTTGCAGTTGTTTCTGGAGGCATTTCAAAATAACGCAGTTTCAAAGTAACGCATTTCAAACCCATTTATTCAGCTACAGGATAGCTTTCCGATTGGTGTGTCAAACACATTTGGTATGTGTGGTTGTTAGGAAGACTTAACTGTACTCTTGCATCTAGTCAGAGTAATTACATAAATACTACTGTTTGCTTGAGTATCAGGCCTTCATAGTCGGGTATCATCAGCCTGTGACATTATGCAATTCAGGTGTGGCTTCTTTCTGTGACATAGAGTGAGATTGCCATTGTGCAGGGACACGAGGTAAATTCAGCTTCAGCAACGGGCCTGAGGCAGCAAGCCAGGATGCAGTGACTGCTGGTCTTGTTGGGATGTCCTCTTCTGCAGCAAAGCTAAAACAATGACACCCCAACATGGGAGCTATTGCTGGTCAGCTGTTCTGAAAGTCACTTGTCTGTGTTTTTTTTGAGGTGGGCAATACGTGTTTTGTGGCATTCAGATGTATGAGGTTTGGTATGTAGCCTGTCGGTCAGGAGGGTTTGGTCTTCTGGTCCAATGTAATACATCTCCACACCTGTCCCAGAAGATGTGCCTGCATAGTTGTAGCAGTGGTGCTGAAATTTAAAGGAACTTGTGAGACTGTGAGTTTCACGTTTAGTGAAGGATAAAATATGTCAGCATTATTGGTTTTTGGAAAGGAAGAAAAGAATGGAAGAAAAGGTGGAGGAAAACTTATTAGCAGGTTCTGCTTTCTGAACAGGAAATTCACACTTTACTAGAAAGCAACAGTATTTTGTTCAGTAAATCCAACAAATCTTTTATGATACATGTGCACTTTATTAGTCACTGCACACTGGCCTTTGTACATGGCTGCCTGAGGAGAATAACTGAGTAGTAAAAATAACTCCCACATAAAACCATTTCAAATGTAGCTGGAGTGAAATATGGAGAAGAGACTTCAAAGTCCAGTGCAGGAAGTGGGAGTTCATGTTGCAGTGTATGGAGATGGAGTTGGTGGACTTTGTAGCAGATGCCTATGGAATACCTGAAATAGCCTTTAAGTTGTAATTTCTTCTTGTCTTCTCAGGGAGAGAATGTGCATATAATACACAGGTGACAGCACCTGTGGAAAACTTTGAGAAAGGTACTCTGTTAAGTTTGCCTGTTAGTCTGTTCTATAGGAACAATTTTTAGACTGCTTTTTGTACT